ATATTCACTTATTGGAACTTAATTGGACTTGCATGAATAACTTGAACTCGGGTAGCCCTTATATTTCCTGAACTTTTCTTTTCAGAACTTGGAACACTATTTATGAACTTAATTTGAACTTTTTATTGCTAAAATAAGTGTATTTAAGGTGAACAATTGAACATTTGCTGTATTTATGAGCATTCATGTGTTACAATGTTTTGTTTCATATTGAGAGCTTATAATGGTTATGTGGTTGTTTTAATATGATGCTTAATGCCAAATCACACTATTGTTATGTCCTAATTATGGCCCTGGCAACTTTGTAATGGCTTAAGAATTGTCCCCTATGTTGGAATGTTTTGTTTCATGCCACAAGCTTATGGTTTTTAGGCTATTGGCTGTGCAGCTTTTGTAATTATCTATCCATGAGTTTGACTCTCTAACTATTGGGAATAACTGGAATATTTTCACAACAGCCAAAGCTCGTGATTAATAATATAGAAGTCCTGAAGAATGCTATTTCGACAAATGATTCTACAGTGTCTGCACCAACATACCATGATAGTTTAATATGGAGAATTATATCTTTGGGGGCAAATGAGATGTGTCTTCCCATCATTTTTGTAACATCTGATAGGTAAGTGGTGTCTTCTTATCACTTATTGTTTAATAAGGTGACTGGTTATTAGAAAGTGAATGTTAATTATAGTTTTGTGATGGGTAAAGTGACCTTTGTGTAACGTCTTGTGTCTATCATCATTAATATCTCAGACCTCCTCAGTCATTATTAAATCAATCTCAATTTTCTAGTTATCTATTCCAATTTTGTAAGTTGTTGATTCTAGTTGTAAATTCCCCCTCCTTGGATAGCTAAGGTCCTGTTCCATCTTCTCAAAAAATGTCCCATGTACAGTTATCAGCCTTTGTACTCTCAGAGTCTCAGGATCACACAACCTAGCTGATCCACTGGATATATATAAGAAGTCAATGGCTTGAGGCTATGTACGATTCTTAGCAGGCAGAGAGTTCCCCACTCTACCTTCTTTTGACATTCGGCAGACATCCTCACGAAACAATTAGATAATTTTTGCCTTTGCCTTGTAATTTCAATAGTTTAATCTCATAAAAAGTCTGTCGTTTAGCCAAGTGATGATGCCTCTGGCACCTATATAGTTTCCTTTTGAACTCACGTCAACTCATAACTTATTATTCCGCAACTAATTTTGACAAGATTAAATAGAACAAGGCCATAGTATACTGCTTAAACATGTTTTCTACCTTTTATCTCTTGATTTTGCAAAATAGTGATTAAGCAGTTCTATCTATTGCGATATTGTGCCTTCTAGTTGCTTATGGTCTGCTGTATGTTTTACAATCTAATAATCGTGGTACCTTTCAGCTACTATTCGTATCATGCTTACATCGATTTTGGGTTTCCAGACATTTTTATATCCCGTGAGGTAAGAACTGGATCTTGTTACTTCTTCATGTACTTTCAATTTTCTTAGGTCATATGATTTTTCTATTGCTTATTTATTCATTGTTATAATTATTATTATTAGGTGTTTCTTGATTGCACAGGCCATGATTTTATGTTGTACATGAAGCTGTAAGAAGCTATTGAAATTCAAATTTTTAAGGGATGTCTTGTATCACTGTCCACCTTTTCAGTGGATATAAAATCTTCTTGTCAAAAAAAAAAAAAAAAAAAAAAAAAAAAAAGAAGGATATAAAATCTTGATTGAATTATTTATGGTCATCTTGTGCCACTCCTGCCCTCCAAACACTGAAAAGAAATAGAAAGAACCTAAAAGAAATGTATCTGATAAGTCCAGGACTGGAGTTCAGTTACTCTAGTACTCTAGAAATTGTGTTTCAGTTAGATTTCAATTTGAAATATATGTCTCTCTTCACAACGACACCTTAATTTATAAATAAGCCTTCAAAAATGAATGCATGTACACCAAAGTATAATTTATAATTAGTTCAGCCAATAATAAGATATTATGCCGTGTTAGGGGATGGATATGGTTTGTGTCTGACTTGCCCCATAGTAAAATTCGAATGTTGTTACATATATTTTCCAACTCTTTTCATCCTTTGTTGCTTGATTACTTCTTTTCCGATAGGCATTTTATGTATGACTTTTGAGAGTGTTGTAATCGTAACCTTTCCCTTCCAATCAACGAGGTTCTGAACATAATTATCCAACAGAGGCTTTACATGATACTTTGTATAAACTTATCAAGGGTTGGTTTCTAGCAGTAGGTATGGAAAGTTGTTAATACTTAAAGATTGAGTGTGCATCTATGTGTCTAATGGCTAATGAGAATATGTAAGAAAATATGGCTTACAAAGCCTGATGGGACATAGAAAACAATATTCAGTTTCTCTCTCTTTTTGCCTATACTTGTATGTCTGCATATATCTTATATGTTGATAATATTGTGTTTTGAATTGTAGACCTTTGGTTGGATGCCCAATGAAGGCAAATTACATATGGTTCCTGACTACTTCAGTGGCTCAGAGGTGAGGAATCACTGCTTAAGCTCTCTCTGTTTAGTGTATGTGTATGCTCTATGCTAGGAAGTTTTTAATATATTATTATATTTATAAGTTATGTTACTAATTAGTCTTTGAAAGGGACCTCAAGATTGCCATATTGCCATTCATTCCCCCGTTTTTTGTTTTAAGTGTTAATTCTGCTAACCCATGTTGTACTTTTCAGTGGACAATAGTTACTGAAGTGCTTGGTGCAAACTCACGGCATTTATTCGAACTTCACGCACTCAAAGAAAGCGACCGATATCTCAAGTATGGTTTGATGTTTCTTCTGCCGATCTGTTCTCTATAATTCCTTTGATTGTCATTTGAGGCTATTTTCAATTTGATGCTTTTGCTGATTATGCCTTCTTTTTTCTGCAGCATGATAGATCATAAACGCAGCACCTTTGAGGACATAGTGGATGCATATTTGGCATATCTACAGGTAGGTTTTGTTGGTTTGTTATGGATTCAATTATAATTCTCTACTTAGAATTTTTCAAAAGGGTCATGCAAGTGTGACTGGTAGCTTTTGGTTGGGGGAGAGCTCTGATATTTTATGTTAGCATTAGGACATCTCTGGGGTTAGGGTCTATTCCATCTGTAAACATTTTGTACGATATTATGACATAGTGACATTAAACTATACAAAGTACTTCGTATATCTTATGAAATTTGTTGCAGGAAATTATTATGTAATCTTTGCTGATGACAAATTGCCAATTGCTCCTTCTATCCCAGATGAATATTTGGGATATTCCATCTAATATTTTTAATAAAGAAGCCGCACAGATATTTATGCTTCTTAGTGGTTGTACTTCTTGTTGAGGAATCGTGATTTCTTCTCATGAGTAGTGTTATGGCTTCATAATTGTCCTTGTGTTCTGCAATTTATTAGGTTTCTTTTATTGTTGATCTGTAGATTACTGTGGTGAATCCAGCCATGGACAAAGCTTTGTCACTTCTACAAAAATTCGCTCTTGATGCACTCAATGGAAAGATACCAAAAGATAAATTACGTTTTGGTGCTCCTTGGAGGCATCCTCCGCGCACAGATGATCCAAGTCTTCGTTTGCAGTGGGCAAAGGTTCAACTAATGGATTTCGTGCAGTCATTGGTTAATACTGAATTTGGGGTAATCCTCTGTCTTCTTGTTATCCATAATTTCTCTGTTTCATAGCATGGTTGAGCGATGAAAATATTGAAATTCTCAGGTTGCCATAGGTGATAGCTTACTTTGGTAGTTTGGTGAGCTGATGGTTTGAATTCTGTTTTATGTTTCTTCAATTTTGTCTTGTTGATACATTCCAATGTCTATCTTATTCTCCAGGGTTATAGCTTTAGATCATTTACACGCTGACCTAGTTAGGGTGTCAATCTTCTCTTCTTGGAATGTTTTACTTGACTATGCTCTGCTTTCCATCTGCCTGTGTAATTGTGTAGATGCATAAATTAAGGTTTAAATGAAAAGCTTTATTCTGATTTTACAGTTGAGGACCTTGAGGTTGTCTAGCCAGACTTTTAATGACCTTTGTGCACCAGCATTGATGGTTGTATCATACTATCACGTATGCCTTTATGCTGTAGAATAAGAATCAGACATAATTTAAAAGTAAATTACTAAGTTTTGATGATTTGGCCTAATGGAGAGGAGCTGTTTGGGTATTGCATTAGTAGTTGGCTAGGATTAGCTTGAAGAGGAAGCAATTGAGTGAGTTCGTTACATTTTCCTTTTGTATTATGGGAGAGAACAATGCTCTCAAATTCTTGTGCTTTTCTTTTAATTTCTGTTATTCCAGTTTGCCAAAACAAAGTTCATCTTCATTTTTATCTTGTTTCTGTTCAAGCTATGTTAATTCAAAGCATAGATTTCATCTCATTGTAGTTGCTGTTGAACTTCTTTAGGGCATCTGTTGGAAAATTTAAGGTAGTGACTCTAGTGAGGTGATATTTTGTTCTAGTCTAGAACTATTGCATCATTAACTATAATGTGTGTTACAGTGTAAGCTTATGTATACGCTTAATCTGATTGTAAGGTCTTTAAAGAGGATTTCTTGAACAGTTCCTTCTGCAATCAGTCCTCTTCTCTTCCAATTCATGCATGATGCAGCTTTTATCTTATTTATTTTATCCTTTATCTAAGCAATCATTGTGCGTTCTATTGCTGAAGAACATCTATTTGCTGCCTTTGTTCTCATATAAAGCAGAGCCTTACCAAACTTTTTGTTATTTGTTAATGCAGCTTAACTATTTTGCTGATTGCAGCCTTGAAATCTTTGATGATCCTTCAGCTGTAGCATTGTTAGAGGTATCTTCAGTTCCATCCTTATTTTAATGACATAAGCTTTCACAAACCCATTTTGCAGCCTTGAGGATGAAAAAAATGATTCTACTTGGAGATTGTCGAATTATTTTTTTCATTTGGAAAACACGATGGACATGATACACAATGTTAACATCCACAACGCCTTACAAAGACACTCCCATCTATGGTGGGGGTTAGGGAGTCAATATGTTCTTCAGTGTGGCTTACTCTTGAGTCATTCTTTTTGGCTCCATTTTAGTCACTTGTGTTCTGATTCTATGCATTACTCCTGAGAATTTATTAAATTAAAGCTGCTTCTGTATGATATAATCTTGATTCAGGTGGGTGTGCTTTATGCTCAACGAGATCCGTCCTTCATTCGTCCAGTATCTCGTGGTATGCAAAGATGCCTGGTGAGATGGTGAGTTAATTAATATGGTTGATAAATCTTGCCAACATGAAACAATTATATATTTCTTTCACCCATGACAAGGCTTTATATTGTACTGTTACTTTTTGAAGTGCTACTGTGCTACACTAGGGTTGGCACAAAGTATTACGAGCCTTATTTAGGTTGATTAAACCATTATGCAAATGAAATTTGTTCGAGATTTAAATATTGTGAGAGTGATAGTGAGTTAATAGTTTTATTCAAAAATGGGAGGATGTGAGAGGAGAGAAATAATAAAGAAATTAGGAGAGGGGACCATGAGGGAGGGAAATAATTAAGGATGTAGTAGTGAGGACTAATATGTTTGGATAGGAAGATTTGGTGGGAAATAGAGGGAAAGGAAAGTGAGGGATATAATATCCCTTATTTGGATAAGTCATAGGGCAAGGGAAGGGAAAGGAAGTGGAGGGATCCATTCTCCTTCCCATTTTAATAAACCATATCCCTCCATTGTTGGAGAGATTTGGAAGGAAAATAGAAGGTTGCTTTCTCCCTCCCCTCACCTCCGTTTTTCCTCTTTTTCCTTCCCCTCCCTTTCCTTTCACTATTGCTATCCAAACATAAGGGAGGAGAGGGATAATTGCAGGAAGTGTCCAAATTGGGGATGTGTAGCACTTAGAAAGAAAAAAAAAGGGCTGCTTTAGGAAAGAGTAGCACTTTTTTTTTAAAAAAAAAAAATAAAAAATAAAAATAAAAAAAATAAAAAATAAAAAAACCGAAGGGAGTATTGTGTGCTGAATTTTATGCAATTCTCTATAAACAAAAAAATAAATATGGATTAGTTAATGTACTGACTTTCGGTTTGCTCTCTGAAGGCTTGTCCAGGAGCAACTACAAATGAACTGGTTTGCCTCCCTGCGTTTTCTGTGGCAAAGACTATTCCGAGGTCGCTACTATCGGCACTTGATGTTACAAATTGGCTATAAATTCTAAATTGCACAAGAGGTAATTTTGATTATGCTATTATTAGCTTTGTTTCTTTTTTCAGTTCTAAAACCAGATAGGCGGAGGAGAAAGTTTCTTGCAATTGAAAAAGTATTTGAATTGCTAGTCTTAATGAATATATTAGCAGCAATTTCAGTGATTTTTTTTTTTTTTTTTTTTGAAGCTTTGTCATTTATGTTACAACGGCTAGCTTTGACTCTAGTAGAAGATCTGATTGTACCAGGCCTTGCAATCATGATTTTACTTAAAATATGAAGACTGTATTTTGCAATCAGTTCTCCTCCTTGGTTGCTATTGTATAATCTTATTTTGGTTGTATGTAATTGCAAAATTTGCAAATACCATTGTGAATTTCTGATTGCATATGTTGATACCACGCCACGATGACTTAGAGGTGTTTGGTCTTCATGTATCACCAGCCAACACGAGGAGCTGTCCTAAGGGTCTGATTATCTGTGCATGAACAAACAAATGTGGGTAATAAAACAACTTGAAAAATTGGATACCTACAATATTTTATTGTAAAGAATAACTTTCAGTTTTCCAAAAATCAGTTGTTCTAACTTTGTAACTAATGCTTTCAGGTACATGACAAGAGAACTTGCTGAATATCAATCTGATCATTGATGTATTACAGAAAGTTTCAGGAAGGATCTGCGCTGTTTTACTTAAAACTCTTTCTTCGAAACTATAGTGCAGTACATAAGAGGTATTTATCTAGGAGTTTAAGTAGGGGTGAGCAAAAATCTCAGATACATACCTGGTTTCAGACCCTGAATCACTTGGTATCTGACAAGTCCAGACTCACCGACTTAGCGGCTTTGGCAGGACCTGTTTTGAATCCCAAATACTGTACTCAGTTGCTAAATTTGATCCAGATTCTCCAATTTTTGACCCAGAACCCACTTGGTAAAATCAGAATGGAAACCATTACCAGAATTAACTTCTCAAGCATTTACACAATTACACGGTTACACCCAAGCCCAGGAATAAAGTTTGCTTACTGCAATTGGTTAGTATATACTGTTCTGAAGAATGTGATTAATACATACTGTACATTCTTTTATTGCTTTGTTGCCTGAAGCAAATGGTATTACATAAATTTCCATGAAAGGTCAAAATTCTTGAAGTTTGAATTCTTTTATTGTATGGGAAGATTGAAATAACAGGGGTAATCTGTACTATTTTCTCGAGCAGAGGTGTAATCATGTGAAAACAGCAATGTGTTACAACTTACAAGACTCTTCGTTGGTTGATATTGAAAATTTAAAAACAAACCATGTATTTCCTTGCACACATTGCGTCTCCACTGTCACAGTTAAGCTGTCAATTCTAAAATAAACACAATAAGACCAAGCTCTATAAATTGATTGAATAATTAATTAGTCTTATCATTACCTTCCAAGCTTCTAAGTACATCAGGCATGTTTAATGAGGTTATATATATATATATATATATATATATATATATATGTGTGTGTGTGTGTGTGTGTGTGTGTGTGTGTGTGTGTGTGTGTGTGTGTGTGTGAAGAGAATTACGTGAAAACAAGATTAAATCTGAAAACTGAAAAGGGACAATCTTCACCGTCCATAAAAATCAACAGCTGAGATTAGAGGAAAAAAAGTTATGCCAACATTCTATCTCCTTCTCAGGTCCTTTTTCTCTCTCCTCTCTCTAAGTTCTTCTCATTCTCTTTCTAAAGAATTCACAATTTCTGGCTGAATTTCCAACAGGTTTGAGCTCCAATCTCCGATCTTCCTCTGGTTTGATATCATCTTCATCTTCTTTCTTTATCAATTTTAAAATCAAAATTTCGCTGTTTCAATTCTAATCTTGATTAGAATATAAATTTGGAAATTCTTGGTCGAGTGAGCAGACGAGTCGAAATTCGAAGAATGCGAATGTTTATCGAGGCTTAATGAGCGATAATTCTCACATATTTCTCTCGCATTCGTTCTCAAAACGATCCTTTGATGAGAGAAAATGCTGCTAAAGCCTTTGTTCGAGGTCGGTCTACCAATTGTCTGCTAAGTGTTTGTTAAAATGTCAATGAGAATTTCTTGCGATTTTCGCCTAAATTTTGCTAACATTGTTCATAAACTTGCAAAAAACAAGCCAAATCGAACAATTGAAGCTAACATTTCATCAATGAAACCCTAGATTTTTGCAACAATTCGAAGTAAAATCCGAATGAAACGAAGCAACGAACAATCGAATCTTACTGAACTTGGTTACGAAATGGAAAGGTAAGTACTTCGTTTTTTATTTTTGAGTTCTTCGTTTCTGATTTTTGTTTGATTTATTAATTTTGCTCGTTTTTTTTTTTGGAAATTATTGATTTGATTTGTATTTTTGAGTTTCGACTTTAGTTTCATTATCGACTGGGATAATTTGTTTCCAGAAAACGAATTTCATTTCTTATTATCGTTTTGTTTCGTTTTGTTAATTCTTAATTCGTCGATCAATTAGCTGTTTCATGGCTATTGGAGTGATTTAGGTACTAAGTTTTTCGTGTCATGAATTGATACATTTTGAAAAACATGAATTTTGGAGTAATGTTACTCTAAGTTTTTTCTACCTATTATCGTTAATCTCCTTAGTTTTATTATCTTTCTGCTTCATTGATTTCAATATAATATTGTTTGCATTTCAATAATATGATTGTTGGATCTATGTTGTCAGAGTATAAATGCGGAAGTAATTGAAGATTAAGAACGAATTTTAATTTTGGATGCTTATTGTATAAAGATAAATTCATAGCTGTAGGAATTGCTGGAATAATTAGGATAGTAATTGTTGCAAATACAATGAAGAAACGGTGTTACTTGTTTGGAACATTTTGATACCTTGATCTGAAACTGTTTACTAATTATCATGGTTTATTTGATGGTGGATGAAATGAGTTGTGGCAACATTTTGCGATTTCCTGTTACTTGTGGCAACATAAGTTTGCTATTGGAATTGAGCATTTATTATTGAATTGGCTCTGTTGTGAAGATTGTGTAACAATGTGAGATGGTTGTTGTTTAAGACAATTGAGAAATAGAGATGCCGCGATGAGATCAAGAGAAAGGAAGAAGATGTATGTCAAGGATTTGGAGATAAAGAGTCGGTATATGGAAGCGAAGTGTAGGAGATTGGGGAGTGACCTTTGTGTAAATGTGGTCAAAATTGATAGTTACCTTATTTTTGTAAATAGTGACTTCTATATAAATGTGGTCAATGTTGTCAAAATTGATATAATTACCTTATTTTTATATACAGTGACTTTCGTTATTTTTATACATAGTGACCTCTGTATAAATGTGGTCAAAATTGATATAGTTGCCTTATTTTTATATATAGTGACCTTTATGTAAATGTGGTCGATAATGATATAATTACCCTATTTTTGTATATAGTGACCTCTAAGTAAATATTGTAAAAATTAATATAGTTACCTTATTTCTATATATAGTGACCTCGGTGTAAATGTCATCAAAATTAATATAAGTTGATATAATTACCTTATTTTTGTATATAGTGACCTCTGGGTTGTTTCACACCATCAGATTATCTAGTGAACATTCAATGGCTAAGATTGCTTGTTTTTAGTTTTCACCATAATCTCTGTTTTCAGCGGAACCTTTCCGTATATATATATATATTTTTATTTTTTATTTTTTGTTTTTGAAAAAGCTAATTATAGGGAATCATACATAAACTAGAAGACAAAGTACATTGTATATTTGTATTACAAAAATGATGTCTAAAATTAGCAATGCCCGTTGCACTCTATCCCGACCCACCTTTAGGATCGTATAGGTGTTAAAATTACCTCCGAATTGTCGAATTTCCCCGAATTTCCAAAAGATAAGAGATGTCACATGTATCAGTTTCATCCAAATTGTAAAGCAAGTTAACGCACTTTGTCATCACTAACAATTAATACGTGTTAGACTAAAGAGGTGATGCATGTCACGTCATATAGACAATACTTAAACACTTGTTAATATCATTCTCCGTGTTTAAGTGAGATGACACGACACATATAGAGTACATCTTATTATGAACACTTATTAACACTCCCTACGATGTTATTAACACTCCCTACACATGACATGACATGCCTAGTGTAGAATTAACTTCAAAATTGCCATGATAGATTTTGCATAAGAATAAATTAAGAAATAAAAGTTGTACGAGTAAAATAGATTTACTCATAAAGTGTAAAGGTCTACTTACATACACTTCATACGGTATAATAAGTTGAATAAAACATGATAAACCAAACAAAAAAATGAAGAGGGTTGATGACCGCCTTGCCGGTATATATGCAGAAGCCCAACTTACAAAAACAAAAATTGGGCGCTTAAAACCATAAAAATTGGCGGGAAATTCTTCAATCTCTCGTAACCTCTCAAACTACAGTTGCAGCCATGAACGGCGGGAATTCCAGGAAACGCCAAGCGCCGCCGCAACAACCGTCACCGGCGCCGCCAAAACACCTTGCTACGACGGAAGAAGACGACTTCGATGAAGATTTTTACTTACAAGACGACCTCATTGACGAAGAGTCCCAAATTCTTCGCGACATTGATGAGCGTTCTGCTAAGCTTGCTCGTCTTTCTAAGTGGGCTCGGCCTGAGCTTTCTCAATCATACAAATCGCAGTCTCAGAGTGTTGGTAATTTATTTTTTTGATGGAATTTTAGGGTTTTGGGGAGGGTTTTTGTGATTTTGGGGGTGGATTTGATTTTTAGGGTTTGTTGTTTTGTAGTTTTTCAGCAATTGGAGATTGATTATGTGATTGGAGAATGTCATAAGGAGTTTTTGCCTAATCGGAGTGGTTCTGCTGCGATTATTCGGATTTTTGGGGTAACTCGTGAAGGTTAATTACTCTCTCACTTTTTTTTTTTTTATTTTTTACCTTTTTGTTTTTCTGATTGCAAATGTGCTGTTTCTTTATTTTGGTTACTGAAAAGAGTAAAATTTTGTTAAAAGAAAAATCTTTTTGCTTGAACATGCATTTCTTTGGTTTGCTTGATTGGTGTACAATGGTAAAATGTAAAATGATACATCGTCTTAGAAGATACAATTGGAAGTGCTATATATTTTGGCAATTTGTTTCCTAATTAAATACTCCGAACTTAGTTTTAGTGTCTGAGTTTGGTATAGTCTTTTGTGTTGTATTCACCCTTTCCAAAGTTTGAATCTTTATGGTCAGTTGTCATGCTAGCATTCAGTAAGCTTTGCAATTGCCCTCTGAACAATCGAAATAAGGGTGCCTTAGGAGAAACGGAGAATCCATGTAAAAGTGACTGCAAGGAGAAAACGACATAAAATTGGAAGTTAAGATCTAAATTTCAACCATTTAAAAAAATGAATGTTTGAGTTGCTGGGTTGTGTTTGTTTTTAGTTTTCTGTTGATTTTTTATGGTCATACTTTGGATCCCAAGGGCTATAAAGATATCCTCCTTTTTGTTTTGAAGTGGCACTTAATGGTAGCATGCTATGGAAAGTTGTACTAGACTTTAACTTGATGAAGAAAAACACTATATGATGTGCCTATAGCATGCTCTATTTCAATGTATGAAAGCTACCAAGTGGTTTTCTACTTATCTGTAAGCTTGCTGCTTCTTGTTGTATTTCAACTTGATTTGGTTGAGAAAATTACTTGCTCTATGAGTTATGTGCTCGGAAATTTTCCATTCCAGTGAATGCTAAGTTTTGGGTCACTTCTTAGTTCTTACTAAAACATGGCCATTCACATTGCTTCCAAGTGAAATACTCTGCACAAGTCATGTGGTCATTGCTGTCACACATATCATTTGGATATGCTCGAAGTGGGAAGTATTGCAGAATAACAAGTTTAGAAAATAATGGAGATGTCTGTTAGAATAACAAGTAGAATATAGTGGAGCTGTCTGTTTCCTACATGGTTCCTCAGTTCCTCACTGAGCAGATAATATTGTCAATCTATGTATTTTGTTGTTTTTGATGGAGCCTGATTATTTTGTCAGTATATATCATGTGATTTGTAGAGCCAGATTATATCCCCAGTCCCTCCTCCCCTCTTTTATGGCCTGAAGGACTTATCATTATGTTTGCACTCTTGGTGTCTGATATCAGACAGTTGAATTATTTATGTGAGTCTAATTTAAGGATTTTTTTGTGCTTACCAAATAGGGCACAGCGTTTGCTGCAATGTTCATGGATTTGAACCCTACTTTTACATAAGTTGCCCTTCAGGGATGGGTCCAGACGATATATCCCATTTTCATCAAATCCTGG